TTTAGCCCACCATATATTGGGAATGTTTCTGTAATAACAGCTGGAAACAGATGTCATACACCGAACAACACAATCACATAGGTCGATGACATTCAGACCAAAAGATCCAACAGCAGAAGGAGACAATGTCAGCATAGTCAGTAAAATAAAACTGTTTCACTTGTGAAAAGTAGTATATTCGTCCAATTGGATGTTTTCTTTGACTTCAAATACAAAACCATAAATGAACTGCAAAAAGAGACGACATCTTCGCATTCGTATCAACACACGTGAACATCATGAGCATCTTTTGACTGAGAAAATGTAAAAATTTTCTCATACAATATATGTAATTAAAATGACAGGGATACCTAGAAGTCTGATACTCAGATCACTCTTCACTCAACAGCCATACTGAACAAATTCAGAGTACCTATTGAGTCATATTGAAGAAAAAGTGTTAAGCGAAGAGTTGCTCTCTCCATCGATATCACCGAAAAAACATACTGAAATCCACTGAATTTATCAATTTACAAAGAAGAAACCACATAGCGGAAGTGATAGAATCATCGAATTCCATTTCAATGAAACAGAAGATGAATATACTAATTAATATGAGTAATTTATCATCCAAGGATACCTAATTGCAGTCAAAGTCATCAGGAGGGAAAGTTGTTTCACTCATAGGGAATTCCGAAGAAAACTCACTTCACAGCAAATTATGAGGTGAAGATGTTCTCTAAAAGGATATCGAAAGCTTCATAGCTGTAACTGTTGGCTTGGACAATCCAAATACATTGTGCACAACCGACTGACTCACAAATATCTTTCATTACTTTGAGACTGGTTGAAATTCAGATGTGCCTCTTTAAATCCACGTTAACTGAAAAAAACATCAGAGAATACATGTTTTGGCTAACTTCACTATGACTGCAACTTTATACATGTCAGTTTCGTAGCTATTTTCGACTGCAAGTATTTCCAATTAGTTTTGCTGAAGGTTAAATTATTAAGTGTATATGATTATAATTTCTAAAGTCACATGGCAGTCGACAAGTCTGACAAAACATAAGAAATCAAAGTCATATAGATTCATATTATAACTCAGATCATGAACGGACTACAGCTGGGGAACCACTGACAATCAGAGAGCATCAAATATTTGATTCACCTTTGTTTGGGACTCTTTATCAGCACTTACCGAAGACATCACCACGGATGGAACCCAGGATATTCAGGTTATAAACCGAACTTGCATATCATGTTATCACTGGGACCCGATATAGTGTTCCATCACTTCTAACTTGTGCCGATTCTCTATGTAACGCGGTGGTGAGTATCTGTTCAAACCCCCTTCCACAACTTGCGTACCCTCGCATTAGTTTGCTTGCTTGGTGTACAACATGGGGAGTGAAGTATTACTTTCTAATCAAATCAAATTATTCTTCTTGTTAGGTATTCCAAATGACTCTGATAAAGGTGATGTGAGTCACCTGGGTGACTGAAGCCAGTCAGAATAGCTGAACACGAATGGTCTGCCATATATCCACATATATATCTAAGTATAACGGATAACCTAAAAAATTTCCGATCTTTTCCAACACATGAAGTTAACTATAGTCATATCATAATGAGGAATAGGGCACAATTTCTCAAATGCTGTATATTTAGGTGTAGATGGGGTGAGATTATTGGGTCTGCATTTATTGAAACAACGATAACTGCATGCAACTAGAATGACTTAATTCAAACAAATGTTCTAATAAAAAAAGTTTACTTCAGATACTTGGGGAATACTTCTACTAATGATATTGAAGAAAATAGAAAAATGAAAAATGTAAAAGTCGACTTCAGGAGTCACGTGATTATTCTGATAGGATAATATGTGATAAACTGCCTTCGAAACACCATCTTGTAAACAATATAGTACGACTGTGTGCCACGTCAAATAAGCAAACTAAGTTGGACTTATGATATACATAGGGATTTTCTAAGCGTTTAGCTTGCTAAGTGACTTAGCCAATAGCTCTTGCACTTGTAAACCGTCCTACAGTAGAATAAGGTAGTTTAAAAGCGATAAAAGGTCAAATGAAGAGGAAGTTAGTCACTGAGCCTTGATTCATCAAGTCAATAACAAACACGTGTGACAGTACAACAGTGATCCGTGATATGTAGAAAAGTGACTCGGAAATGGGAAGAAGATTCATCGAAAGAAAATAATCCAATCGTGTGAAATTATTGTAACGTACATGAGTGATAAATTTTGTTTGAAAACACATCTAAATACTAATTCCATACTACTAGACGCAGTATCAAATAAACTTACCTACTGAAGCGAGGCACAGGTCCTCTGACTGATAGGTTTTATTATGTAGAGCTCACGGGTTCTTTCGAAACTATTAACAAATTTATCCCCTTAAAAGAAGGCTGTAACTAGCTTTTCTTCAACTTGTTATTTGCTTCTAAACTTTTGATTGGATATGTCATCTTTTATTCACTTCAGATGTTGATATCTTTCCACCGTCACTTGGTTACACTATCATTTGTTAAATCCTATATCTCATAATTTTGAATTCTGTTAAATGAGCTTGACTCACTACAGTTTACAAATTTTGTTTATTGTAATCTACTGTCGATTAACATAATTTATGCTTCACAATATATTGATATCATTTTTGCTTGTTTCGGTAAAATACCATTACAGAGATTCGTTACACTTTGCTTACTATAGATTTTAATTCATTCATATACTATGATTATTCTCAATTACTGATCGATATTTTGTTTGACCAAGGAATTAAATTATGCTGAGTAGTAATAAAACTGTATAATTTTATCACTTAGACTGTAAGTAATTATCAAGATACCAAGGAAATAAAGTCACTCTGTTTCAACTTGCTTCATGTCCTTTTATTACTTGACTAAATTGACTAAGTGAAATAAAGGCGTAAAGTTATCTCATAAAATAATACCCTAATATACTGATTGACTTTTACTTGAACAAGACGAGAACAATAAATGTGCCTGGATAAAACGAGCCCTTCACATTTCCAGTGGAACATAGGGCTTCACGCTAGAGCTTTAACGTTTCGGTAGCAGTGGTTGCTTTATTTTTACGGGGTTAGTTTGCTAGCCTCATGCCCAACCTTCCCTTTTTACCTGCCTTACTGCCGGACTATCAAGTTGAGAGAGTACGTCTGAGGGGGGTCAAACCCCACACCACATACATGGTTGGCGAGCATTCTGCCTCTGTGTTACCGAAGCACAACCTGAATAACACAAAAATGTAAGTTACAGGAAAGGTTTGAACAAACTTTCTTTCAGATGACAGGAATTAATTGATAGGAATCATAAGGAACATAAGTTCACAGTTATGTAAGTTGTTAAATTACTAAAAGGATTGACTATTCATAAGACAATTAGACTAGTTTTCTTCAAAATAAAACATAATTAAAAATCTTCTGGCTAGTAACAAAGTATGTCAGTTCAATGAGTCTCGTAACCGCGGAAAATACACTTTTATAAGATAGCAAAATAAGAGTAAGGTGAGTGACATTCAAACAAAAAAACGAAGTTTTCTAAACAGAATGTTATATACAAAACTACATGGAACAATCAAAATTTTATGACTCTGCTTGGTAGGTTTAATCAAAGATGTTCCCAGGAAACCGTTTCTATAACTTATACGCGTGAGGCTTTTGAAAATTGGATACCAAGATTTGGAAACTTTATATTGAGTTGAACACTACATTTGCACCAAATTTTAGTAAGACTAGCAAACTGAGCAAAGATTGCGACATTCAAACACACGACGCTAGTGACTTTTCGGTTACAAAGGCTGATTACATTGAAAGCAATCTTGTGTCACCAGTGGCCAATAGTGTTGGAACACTTTATGCATGATAAACAATAATCCTTAAACATTTTACCCCGATGAAGTTATGAGTATCTAAGACTTCACTAAGAAAATTCAGAACATAATGAGTTAATCAAAACTCACGCTTGTCTTCAATATTTGATCCATGAAATGCCTTTTTGTAGATTTTTCAGGATCCCTTCACTAATTCCTTCAGAATGAGACGTATATTTCTTCATTTTTCCAGGGTATACAGATATTTGTAATATTTTGGTTCTGTTTATATGAATATAATTTTTGAGCACTGTCCAATAATTTTGAAGTCTTCTATTAATTAACATAATGTGCCATTTGCAAGTACGTCAAAATTTCACGGCATATAAATTAGGTTTCTTACAGGCTGTAAGCAGTTGGTGAAAAGCCGCCAAAATGAATGACGGTAACAACCTGTTCTACACGAGTCGTTGATTTTGATCTGTTCAGATTCATAAAGAGAGATAAATACGTGAAGTACTTTATCATTCTTAAACCCACCAAAAATACGCCCAGCGTTGCATCATCCTATCCAGTTACTGTGATAATATGTTGATGGTGGTTAGGGTGCTAATAATTCTAGTACGTCTCTATTTCAGCGGTAGAATGCTTCCCAACCACACATGTGTTCCACAGTTCTTTTCCCGGCTGACGAGCTCCTAAACCTCACTAAACTGGTAGTAGGGCCGAAATATAGGGAAGGTTGGGTGTCAGGCTGGCAAACTAACTACGTAAAAATAAACACCACTGCTACCGAAACTTCAAAGCTCCAGCCCGAAGACCTATATTCCACTGGAAAATTCAAGGAACAATATATTAGAAAAGAATGATTGTAATGCCTAAATTATATCATCTATTTGAAGGCTTTTATTTTGTATTCGTTAATAAATATACCTTATAAATTTGTCTAAAAATTCTACTGGTTGATTGATGCACCATAAAGTCAATTTAGAAATTCCATTCTACGTGATACGAGACATTTGTGAAGTAAATACTTTCATCACATCTCATTGCATGTGCAATTAATTAAAAATAAGTGTAATTTGAAAGTACTATATAAGCAGAAAGCATAAAATCATATTTAGTGTGTTAGTAGTAACAATTAGCTAATTTAACAGATTGTTTTCTCATGATGCTACCTATTTTAATACTACTGTTAGTATCCCATAACTCACAGGTCGAATCATGTAAGTAAATTTGTGTATAGATAATTTTTTAAAATTTGTTCATGCCTTTATTTTGTTATGATCAAATATTTGCATTGATTTCTTCATACTTTAAGCCTGCAGTTTCGATAAGCTAGTCAGTTACACTTCGTGTTTATCCTGGTCATAACAAAGCGACCTAAGAACTAAATTTTGACTACATATGAATCGTTCATCAGTAGTGCACGATTGTCTATCACAGAAAATGATGGATTTCTCATAAGTTAATCAGTATTAAATAAGCTGTGATCAGGTGATGGAATTTTCGTGATTACATTTCTCATCACCTCGTTATATTTAAGTTATTAAACGGCCTTAAGTAGTTAATAACTTCAGATACCCTCTGACATCGAAGATCTTAAAATTTTTTTCCTTCACGTTCCCAGTGGAACATAGGGCTTTAAGCTGGTGGCTTGAAGTTTCTGTAGCAGTGTTTATTTTACAGGATGGGGTTGCTAGCCATATACCCAACCTTTCCTCTTTACCAGCATTATTTCTGGCTTAGTAAGGAAAAGGAGTGCGTCGGCCGGGGATCGAACCCCAGACCATGTGCATGGTTGGCGGGCGTTCTAACCGCTGTGCCACCTACAATTAAGTTTACACAGATACAATTATAAATTAAACATGGTACTACCTGTAATAAAGTTTCTCTGTAGGACTATTTTCGGATATAAATTATGATTTCTCTTACTTTTAATAGCATATTTAAGCAACTTTATGTTAAGTTTGTCAATAAACCTTTTGTCTTATTGGCAAAGATGCTGATTTTTGTTTAAAAACTGAACTTTTCTACCTCCATTATGGTTACTGATGGAAGTGACTGTTTATGTTATTATTTTCTATAAAATTAAGAGCTTAGAAAAGCACCACTTATACACTGTGACGATAGCATAGACATTATAATTTCTATTTGTCTCCATTACCCCAACTTTTAAAGTGGAAACCATTAACGAGGATTGGTATAACTTCATATGTAATTAATTTAAGAATAAATATTTGTTGTTGTAAACAAATTAATGTTTTTCTATTGTAGCTAATCCACCTCTGCCTTTGTTCAACCTGACAAGCGCTTTTAAAAAGGGGGAAGTGGTATGTTTTCTATTTTCCTGTAATTCTACTTATTTTCATTTATTAAGGATATCTAATCGAGGCTGAGAAATGAGTGATGATATGGCATATCCACAAAATACACCAGTCTGAATGAGCACCACTGGGATATTAGACTAGGTGTCATTCATGCAATAAGTCACATAAACTACCATAACAACAATAAACATTCAATTCTAAATGTTTAACTCTGCTGTCTAGATATAACTATCAAACGACGTTTACAGCCATAAACTAGAAAGATTAGCTTATTGACATTGGTGAATTTAGGGATATGCTTTAACATCACTCGAGAGAAATTGTTTTTTTTCTATTTGTAAAAGCATAGAGTGTATTAAAGTCAAGTTTTAGGGCTTCACAATTAAAGGCCAATAAATTCGGTTTGCTTTGATGTGATACCAGGCAGACGGTAGCGTAATGTATCTACTCCTTTCTTTGGTGCAGACTGAATTCTATCAACCTGAATTCTGCAATGTGACCTCCATGTTAGGAGGCTCACCATCACAATGCACTGTGAATACAGTCCTACAGGTGGTCAATCGCAAACCCGAATAATTCAGTGGGGATGTCTCTGACTGCAGCGGTGAGTGACGTGGACTAAAATCTCAGAAGGGACGCCTTGCTGACAAGTGTCAACTAGCACAAAGCCTAGGTCTAAAGCTTCCTTCTGATTGCCACCAACCACCTAATATCAAATTTGTTTCAATAAGGAATATTTTAGTCTAATTGTTATATAAGACTTCTAAGTAGGCAGACTCATTTTTACTGACTAATATGTTTGATTTATATTTATTGTTGGTAAATCAACTTCCATTTATAAGAAAGAGAACAGACTTTTCATTCGAGCTATTTCTCTTTACTGTTTTTATTAAGAGGCCATAACATTGAAAAAAGATGCAATTTCATCATAGCAATACATTAACCTATTCGTGTGATGGAATGTTTCACAAACATTGTTATTTATCATTTCAGTAGAAAGTGATAAATTTATATTTAGAACAACACATTCAAGCGAACAATATTGTTTTCAAATAGATCTCATCAGGCTTAACTCTAATATACATAAGTCTACAAATGAAAATTCAAATGTAAACCAGCCATGGTGTTTTGTCTATAGGATAATAAGATGGTGAACATAAATTGTTCAGTGAGTCATTTTAGTAGTAATGATAATAATAATAAGGATTTTATCAATAACAAGGCTGCAAACCTGAGGTAATCTGTGATAACACGAATAACTGAAAACAGTTTGATTAAACAAGGCAGTGTCTAGGTCAAAGTAGTCGATAAAGGCTAGTAAAAACAAACGAAGCGATTGAGGAAAGCTGGATTGTAAGGTAAGTAAATAAAACTCGTTTTTAATGAAGATGTGATAAGATGAAGGGATGACAAAAGAAAGGTTAAAAATATAAGTAAGGGGTGGTTTAGAAGTCATCAGTTGGTTGTGTCTTAATAGGTCAAGGGAGGGATAATGGCTGTACGAACTTCTTTTGAATGCATAGTTTAGGTTTAATAGACGAATACGTAATCTATTGGAAAGATTTGGTGGGATACGATGAATTACTTTGAAAGCTCTCGTTTTCACCACCGCATGACTACTATCGAATAAATGGGACAAAATGGAGCTATGGATTGTTTTTGTCTGTCCTTTGACAAACCAAGATGGGAGATGTTCACTAGCACGTTGACTAAGCTATCTAGTAGTACGCTGAACATAACTGTCACCGCAGGTGCAGTTGAATTGATAAATGCACATAGATGTCGCAAAACTATCAAGCTTATCCTTCGTTTGCGTCCCAATCATTCGTCGGCCAGAAAATGACAAATATAGGTATGCTGCGTGGAACGTTCTCCGTATACTTATTATTATTATCATTACTACTAAAATGACTCACTGAACAATTTATGTTCACCATCTTATTATCCTATAGACAAAACACCATGATTGGTTTACATTTGAATTTTCATTTGTAAACTTATGTATATTAGAGTTAAGCCTGATGAGATCTATTTGAAAACAATATTGTTCGCTTAAATATATTGTTCTAAATTTTGCTATGGGAATATTTAATGTACTGAAATTTACATTTCATTGCTTTTATTTAGGATTACTTACATGCTACTCATGTGAGGATTGTCCAACTGTCACTAATACGACCAAAAAAGAAAAAGGTTGTCCAGCTTGCGCGGTAAGAATCAAAAACACTGAATAAATTTGGATGACAGTTTGAGGCATATTGCTAAGCCATTAAATTATTTGGAAATGTTTGTGAACCAAAGTATCGGGCGAATGGGCCTAGTGTATTCGAATTTCATAGCAATATGCTTTATACTGTTTAGCAAAAATATCATATCAATTTTCAATTTTTTTCCCGTATTTCTGATTGTTCTGTAAGATGGCTATTGCATATTATGTCTGTAAAAAGACATACGGATATTATTCTTAGGTTGCAGTAGTGATTGATCATCTCAAATTATTGTAGGTCTTCGGTGAAATTTTATAGATGCTAATTCAAAAAATTCGACCCAACGTCTGCTATTATTTCTTTAAAATAAGCACAAATGTTTTTGTAATAACTAATGCTGAGCTTCAGAAGCTTTATGAAGTTGGCATATGTATTCTAAGATAATGTCCATGATGCTTTGTGTATTACGAAAATGCACTGCTGAGGTAAATAACGGTACGACTTGTCATATACATAGCTACATAAACAAAGTCGTCTTGAAGTTAAAAGACAATTAATTCGCATGTATTTCATTTAGGTGTCAAAATAACCTTTCCGATGCACCAAATACTTAACCATAATGTCAAGATGATCTAGCAAGTAGCTATTTTTTAATACGGTGATCCCTTCACTCACTGAAATCTGAAGATCAAGGAGTCATTTACTTTTTACAAACTTATCTAACTTGTAATGATCTTAAATTCATTATAATTGATTGTTTAACTTTGTCTTATCGAATATAAGCTTTTTTGAATTTTACTTCTTCCATTCGTTTAGAAAGCCGTTAAAACCACTCCACCAGTGCAGGTAGCAAGAGGATGTTTACCGAGTTGTTCAGATCTTCCTCAAGTAAAGGATGTTAAGGTTTATTGTTGTGAAGCTGAATTATGTAATTCAACATTAAAAATGAGTCTAGATTTGAAAACTCTCTTGTTTAGTCTTTTTATTTTTATTACCATAAAGTATGTTCACAACTGTTAATGAACGTTAAATTTGTACTTATTCATTGCACTTTTCACTTACTAAGACAGTTAGATTAATCACCTTTTATTTAATGTTAGTAATAATATGCAGCATTCATACCTATACGTCTAATTGTTTGAATGGATTTTGGCAATTAAATTGTCTAGGTGATCGTTATGACAACAACTATCACTAATGGTTAATTTAAACCATTATATTATTTAATTATTTATCCGTTATAAATTCACTCCGTTTCATGATGTTTCAGCCATCTGATTATGCCAATAAATAACACTCATGGACACATGCATACCCTTTAATGAAATTCAGTCATACGATTTGCATATTTTGAAGGAGATCAAGCGAAATACTGTCAAGAAATAAAAGTTTGCCTCTTGTCAGATGATATAATTTCAATGGTTATTTGAACTGAAGATTTTCTAATTTGACTGAGCATTTTCTAATTAAACATGCTGAGAATTCTCTACTGTAAATAAAGGTATTCATTGTTCAGAATAAAACTATTTTTACCACATGTATTATGATTTCTTTTCAAACTAACGAATATAAATAGCATACCGTTTATGAAGAAAGCTGATATTATTCAGAACTGCATCTAAAAGTGTTGAAATGTAACCTTAAATGATAATATTAATAATCTACTTTATTCCAGAAACAGTACTTGTAATACAGAATGAAATTCTCAGAATTTGTCACAGTATTCCATCTGATTAACTCAAAATATAAATAAAATTAAGACAAAATTAATTAGAGAAATTTGTCCACATTTACGATATGAAATCAAAAATATTCGAAGTACAAAATGAGAATATTTAATGTAATAATAATAACAGTTTGTTTCAAACAGTATTGGAACAATTAGTTCCTTTGATAAATTTGAATAAGGTATCAAGAAGATAAATTTAGCGAGATGATATCATCTTGCATTGTCTTTACAACCACTTTACAACTAACATGGTTAACGATAATAATAATAATATAAAGTTCGAGACAATTACTCAGTTAAATAACAAAACAAAAGTACATACTAATGACCATAAAACATAAAACAATTCCAACAGTGGTGTGAACACGGGCAGTAATTTTGCTCGAAATATTACCAATAACAAAACTTATCATTGTGTGTAAACTATTAAAATATAATTATACTTTAAATGACCAATCATATTTAGATAGGTCATGTTGTCCATGGGAGGAGAAGATTGAAATCTATTGATTTTTGTACACACAGTTTAGGCTGTATGTGATTAATCCAAAGTGCCTCAATCACTTTCAATAACCCTGAATTAGAGTTATGTGAAATAATTGTGAAATAGTCATCAATACTGATTTTGCGACCTGACATTAATGTGTTTTGCAATGGATGATGCTGGATTTCTACTCAGATTAATCGCGTTGGGATTTTCTATATGGACAACATGACCTATCTAAATATGATTGGTCATTAGTATATATTTTGTTTTATTATTTAACTGAGTAATTGTCACTACCTTTATATTATTATTATTGTTAACCATGTTGGTTGTACAGTGGTTGTAAAGACACTACGAGATGATATCATCTCGCTAAATTTGTCTTCTTAATGCCTTATTCAAACAGTATTGTCGATTCAGTTTGGAAATTTTAGCATGTTATAGATTATTGAATCTAATATTCCCCTGATTTAGTATGATGACAGGAAAGACAAAATTAACAGTTATTACGCAGCTTAAATGATGTTCACACTTATGAAACAATAAACAAATTAAAAAAAATTCAGAAAATTATAAATATAAGAAGTACAATAACAATTAAGGTTGATTTTGTAAGGGTCGAGAAAATGGTTTATTTACTAGTTCAAAGAAGAGTAGTTATTTCATAATGCCTGACACAATTTTCCATCACATAAAACACGTTTCAGATATGGTATAGTGAAGTTTTCTTGCTTAGAATTACTTGCATAAAGTCTATGAGAAAATGACTTCTTGTTTTACCTGAGAAGACACAAGATTGGGGCTGCAGGTAGAGTCGACGCTCACAGTCTGACAAAATTCCTTTAGCAAATTTGTTGCACAAAATCAAGTGCCCATCAATGAACGTGTCACCAACATGGTCCAATGGGATACCATCCACCCGGCTGACAGTCTTTAGAGTTCTACGAAGTATCACATAGTCTTTTTGTAGCAATCCAGGAAAGAATAAGGGTGAACAGTAGAGAAAAATAGGTGAGATACCTGAGTGGGCAAACCCTAAGTGGAGAGGTTGAGTTATGCCTGAGTGCCTTAACTTCTTAATGTAAAAAGTCAGTCAGAATATCGCTAAGATATGAGGAGACCAGGATTGGTCAGAAGATTTCTATGTCATTATCATCAATTTTGCAAGAGCCGTAGGAACCAACGGCTTCACTTAACTTTCTTTTACATCGGAAACTGAAATTGACAGTCTGACATTTGGAAGGATCTAGTTTAACACGATTTGCTAACTCCTGATACAAAGCTGTTCATTTTAATACAGTCCAGCTGGAAGTTAACAGACATTAAAATAGTAAGATCGTCCGCATTCTAAATGAAGTTCATTTCATCAGAGCGAGGCAGGTCATGTAAAAAGAAAGAAGACAGAAAAGGAGAAAGGACAGCACCCTGAGTGACACAAGCCTCAGTAAACAATGAAGTGGACGACTTCCCCCGACATGCAGTGTACTGCATCCTTCCTGAGAAATAAGAATACAGCCATCTGGCAACACAACAGTCAGCTTGAGTCTCAGCAAGCTTGTTTAGCAGAGTGTCCCTAGGTACTAAGTCGAAAGCAGATATGTAATCTAGGAAGGTACAGTGAACAAAATTTAACCCCCTTGTCTAAACTGGAGACAATAGTTCTTATACTGAGTTTGACAAACTATTGAGATCTTTTTATTTGAAGACTTACCTTCAGTCATCTCAACATGCATAAGAGATACTGAAATCTAACTTCCACTGTGTGGAACAACAGCTAGCTCTTTGGTGAGCTTTTGTTTTATAGCTAAAACAGATTTCGCCTAGACTGTACTATAAAGAATTGTTCCTTCCATTTATTTAAATGACTGCTGGAAGATGAATGTTCTTCTTTATATAAAGATATTATGAACTATCTGAAATGCAGTGAATTGTGATGATTATTTTTAATCTCGACGTTGCCAAACCTTATGATTAGTAGTGTAGCATGTTCAAATTTAGAAACTTATCACATTGAAGCATTCACTGGTAAATCGTATGCTTCGTGGTAGAGTCTAAACCCATGTTATGTTGTTTATTTGATGTGACTTACAGTATAAAGTATAATCTGCTAAATGAGGATGGTTTTAGGAAGTGTTTTGTGCCTACGATGATTTCTAAAGGCAGGTAGTGTGTGTGTGATAAGTGGTTGAAAATCACAGAAAAATGACCTACAAAGGAAATTAATTAGGAAAGAAATGAGCAGACAGAAAACTTGCATTGTGTTTAGAACTGAAAATAGTCATGTAAATTTAAAGGTGCTACCTTCTGTTAAGTGAAATTGTCTACATTCAAAGTTACGTTAAAGCTCACAAACAATAAAAATGCACAAAACTTCACAATCTCAGTTGTCTGTATTCATCCATCAGGCATAAAAAATAAAGCTGAATGATGTCATGTGTACTCATTCTACTTAAGTATAATATAGGGTATGATGTAACCACTTGTACAAATTGTAGACGGATTTACATATGTCCGTGAACAGACATATACGGGGAGGTGTAATAGAGCCTTACGCGTAAGGTTGAAGGAGAACATCCACCTAAATGGATGGGAAAAACTTGAACTATGAAACCTCTATTATCTCAGATGGCATATTACCAGCCTCTTCGACGGCAGAACAAATTATTTAGTTGATACCAAAACAGCTTTGCAGAATTTGTATGTATATAAATTGACAGCTGGTCATATTAAAATATAGTGGGACAACAGCCACTTGTAGGACTGATTGTCCCCCTACTATGTGCACAAAAACAATTGCCTTGGTTTATCAGGAGAAGTGTTATTTATTATTTACCTTACTGTTATATCGCTTGTTATACTGCTTCATTAGATCCGTCATTTTTTTCATTTCTCATGTGAGCGGAATTTGAAAGCATGTATCTGATCTAACTGTCAGAAATGTTTGCGCAAATGCATAACATTATTACTATTAAGGCATATTAGTAGAATATTTGACGTCATAAGTAGATGATATTATTACAGTAAAAGTCAGTACTACTTTGAATAAAAGTTATAAGCACCTAAATGGAGGAATGTGAATAAAAAAACATCGTTTTGATTCTCATTAGCTGATTAATACGAAACGGTTTTTTACATAAAAGACTGTCAAGATAATTGTATTGCTTGAAATTCAGATACTAAATGCATGACAATACTTCATACTAGTCACATTTTTTATTATAAAGTTGAAAATTCCACTTTCTAATATCTGTGAAACTGAAAAAAATTAATTCGCGTAATTTTTCTTCAGAATTCAATAGAATTTATAACGTTTCTATGTGCACACAGCAAATAACTTTGACTTATAAAAACAGCTATGCCCTCATATGATCCAATATATTTGTTACGAAAAAAAATGGTTATATACTGTCACGTAACAATGAAGAAATAAATGAGCTTTTTTTCCTTAAACAAAAAATTGAAAGAGTCCCCTCATACTACTGAAATGCCTTGAGAAGTATCCACATTAGGAGTACGATATCCCAACTGTTACCAGATACAGGGAATTTTTTCTACACTCACTGACAAAGTGTGGCAAACAATAAAGGGAGTTTCTTTCTTTAATTTGATATCGAATAGTTAGATAGCTTTCCTA